CTGCACTAAGTCCAAATCTGTCCTTTCCCCCTTGGCTACAACTGAAAGGGTGCACACAGGAACAGCAGCAGGAAATCCTTTTGGCACAACGCACTTGTGAGGTCACCTGTATTTTACAGAACCTATGATTCCTTTAATTATTACTTAAAAGGATATTAAAAATTTAACTTTTTTTCCCCCAAATTCCCAGGAAGTTGCCTTTAAACTCCAGTTTAAAAGACATTGTTTCCTCAAAAATCAAGAGAATATTATATTTTGGTGAAAGAAGAGAACAATTGTATAAATATTATAAATTTGTTATATGAAAAAAAAAAACACTCTTTCCTAATAAAAGTGCCTTACCATAATATCCAGAAATCTTGAACATCACAGACCTAACTGTAAGTGCTCTGCATGCATTCTCTCTTTCATCCCCAGAAATCACCCTATAAGGTAGACGTCACCGTGACACAGGAGGAAGCCAAGGCTTGAGGAAAGAATGCAGGTGATGCAAGAGCAGCCCCCGAACTGATGCCAGCAGCCCCACCCCTGCTCCTTCCAGACTGGCCCGAGAAATGGTGGGACCCGGTGACAGGAGGGATGGAGACAGGGTGAGTTCCTGAACCTGTGAGCCCGGACAAACCACAGGTCCGGCCTCCAGCAAAGAAACTGCTGGCGAGAGGAGCCACCGCACATTCAAACACAGCGGGCTGAAGATAAAGCGGACTTATTCTCAACAGATCACAGCTGAAGAGCCTGCAGTCACACTCAGAAATTATGTTCATGACGCATGAAGACGACTTCAGAAAGACAAGACAGTCAAAGTGTCCAGCATGGGGGAACTCCCTGGCGGGCCAGTGGTTAGGACTCAGCGTTTTCACTGTTGGGGGCTCAGGTTCGATGCCTGGGGGGAGGGGGACTAAGATCTTGCAAGCCTCGGGGCAAAAAAATAAATAAATAAAGTGTCCAGCACAGAACAGACAGAGGACAAAGGCAGGCAGGATAGGACACCGAATTCTGGATGTCTTTTCTGATTCCAACAGACCAGTGCACAGAAGTTAGGTGTGGGAAGGGCGATCACGATGGTGAAGAAACAGCACGGTGTCCCTGCGACGGCGTGTAAGGACACATCCAGGCAACAGGCGTGCCCACGGTGTCCCAGACACTGTCCTCAGTTCAGCCACGAACTGAAACTCCCCTGCCCACGTGAAGCTTAAGCTCTGGTTGAGGAGACAAAGAATGAGTAAGTGAGGACCCAGTCTGGAGTCAGGGGGTGATAAGTGTGCTAAGGGCTAGGAAAAGAATAAAGCAGGATGGCAGAGAGAAGGAAGGGCAAGGGCAGATGGCATCTGGCAATCGTGGAACCATCAGCTGAGCTCTAAGAGGAGGGGACAAGATGAAACTCAACTGTTTAACCTAGAAAGGCTTGAGAGCACTCGCCGCAAGTGTCTGCTGCCTGGTAGAGTGGGCCCTGTAATGGTCCAGAGAGACCACAGCAAACACACGTTTGAAGGTATCTGAGAATTGTGCACACCGACAGGAAAACTGATGGTGTCAGGAACACAGAGAGGAAAGCAGGAGAGGCAGACAAAACCTCTGCACCACGTGGATGACCTTCTGAAGACCTGACTGTTCTCTGACTTCATTAGAGAAGGCCAGAGGCCACAGCAGTGATGAGCTTCAAGGGACAAGAAAGGAGCAGAGGAGGATCTGCATCAGACTCGGCAACCTTCATTCAACAGAAGAACGGGGGCTTACTGAGCAGGACCCACTGGACACACAGCTCATGCTCCTAAGGGGGCACCTCAAGGCGTCTCGTTAACACACATCCCAAAGGGACCAGCCGGAGGAGGGGACGGGGTGAGGGGGCTGAAGGTGAGGACTCTCAGTCTGTCTGTGGGCTGTGGGTGGGTGTGGCTGTCTGTGGGTGTGGCCACCACTGAGGGCGCTGATGCAGGTTCAGCAAGAGGTCAGCAATTAGGTCAGTAACCACCACTGAGTCTGATGACTGGGGTGCCCGCTCCACCCACACCCACCACACTTGTACTAAAGTCACAGTCTCCCCACAAAGCTGCAAACTGCTCACAGGACTCACATCTTCTTTAATCTCTGTATCCCTGACAACTAGCAAAATCCTGGAAGGTCAATAAAGGCTCGACTGAGGCCAAGCTTTCATGACACGAATAAGCCAGAGGGGCTGAATAACTGAGGGTCTGAGAGCCCACGAGGCCAGCTTCCTGTTCAGTTGGCAGACGCGTGGCAGGGGAGGCAGGCGGAGGTGGCCACAGCGATGGGATCTCACTGGCTGAATAGCCCTGAAAGTCACTTCAATCCTGAGTCTCACTTTGGAAAATGAGGGGACTGGAGCAAATCAGAGGTTGCACATCTTTAGGGAGAGGAGACACCTGTCATGATGCTGAAGGCTGAGGTGTGTGTGTGCCTTTGCTGTTGGGGGTGGGAGACCAAAGCTGCAAACAAACTGCAGAGGGAGCTGGTACCACAGGTACGGCCACCACCCCAAGGACCCTGGAGGTGTATCAGCAAAAGGGGCCCTCTGGTGATGTGGCGGGTAAGTGGACAGGGGCTGGAGGAGGAGGCCAGGCCAGCGGTGAGCAGCACCAATGAGCCACTCGCATCTCAAAAACTGTGAATGAAACGCCCGTGTTTTCAAGGCTGTTGCTGGAGTCTGGCTTGCACACACCCAGGCACACAAGAAGGCAGGGAGAAACATTTTACACAACTTGAAAACTATAAAACTACTTTAAGAGCTATAAGAGCAATTATCCATAAGCAAGATCTCCTATAGCCTTTGAAAAGCCTTTTTTTTTTTTACCATATTTACTGAGGGCGAGCCAACGGTATTTTGAGCTTCTGAGAAGTTTCCATTTAGAATCAGTAGGAATACCTGACACATCCAAACCCCATAATTTCCCATACCAAGCTGGATCTCCCAACATTACAGAAAACCCACAAACGTTGTGGAAGGCAGTAAAAAGCCAATCCAGTCACAGGAAATCTTCCAGTGCTATAAAGGAAAACAAACAAACAAAAACACCACAAAGAGCCCTGAAACATTTCTAGTTGAACAGCTTTTCACTCAAGCTTTAATAACTTCATTCTGAAGCCCTTGAAAAGTATTAAATTACATATTCAATATTCCTGACAGTAGAAATGCCTAAAACTTATTACAACTTAAGACAGTAAGTGAAAAAAAAAAAAAAAAGACAGTAAGTGAGCTCATGACTTTTAAGTCAAATTTAAGGCAGCTAAAGGCCAGATAAAACCATGTGTTTGAAAATGCCTGCAAAATAATAAATGCCGGAGGGAATTGGATGGCTTTTCTGCTTCTAAGCTAAATAAAGCTTGGGGCGGCGGGCTTTGCAAAGATCCTAGTGAGGATAATCCCCCCTCAACTGCACAGAGCAAACCATCCAATCACTTCTAACCGGGGACCAAGGAAAGTTAATCCAGGAATAACAACACTTGAAATATTGAGGAAAAACACAGTTCAGTTTAAAACGCTCTGCCGGGCCGGAGGGCGAATCGGGTCATTCTAACAGGCCAGAACATTTGACCGCTGAGTATTTTCGTGACCACGTCTCGGCTTTGTGTTAACAAAGGGTCCAGCAGGAGGACGCTCGGGCCTTCAGGTCGGGCCCCGCTGCCAGCAGCCTCCGCACTTCCTGCACACCTTCGGATCAAGCGCCCAGACTTCCTGCAGAGCCCTGGATGCTGGGCTACCTTCCTCCTTCGGGCTCTCGCAAGCTAAGTTCCCCAGGCAGGCTCGAAGCGTAAAAGTTTCGCAGTCCCCGAGTGACCCTCCATTAAAGCACAATCAGCACGTGTCGCTTCGACAGGTCTGGCCGGGTAGGGTGATTAATGTCCGGCAAACAACTCAGAAGAGGTAAATGCGACCCCTGCAAAGGCAGCAGTGAGCAGGCTGAACGCCGCTGCTCCGGGAGCCCGGCGGCAAGGCTGGCCCGCCGGGCGGAGGCTCTGCTGGCATTTGCCGCGGTTCCTTTCACGCAACAGGTCCACGCAGAGCCGGGTACCTGGGCACCTGCCCACACAGCTCCGCCGGGGCAGCCCCCGCCAACCCCGCCCCGCCCCGGGCGGCCGGTCCTGAAGCCCGGGAGGGCGGGCCAGCCACGGGCTCTTCCCCGGACGAGGCCGGGAGCACATTCCTCGGGAGATGCCGAGATAGCACGGCCAGCCCTCGCGCTGCCCGCCTCCTCCTCTCGGCCCTACCCGGGCCAGAGGGGAACCGCGCCCCGGCCGGCGATCGCGGCGTGGCGGGGCCGAGGGGACCGGCCCCGAGAGCCGGACGCCGGGCCGGGCTCTCCCAGCCTGGCACCGTCTCGGGCCTCCTGGCCCCGCACTCGCCCGCTCACAGGTGCCGGGCTCTGGTCCCTAGATGTGTATCTAGACGGCGTGTCTGCACAGGACGTTTCCCCAAAGCGCACACGCTCCGGCGACCACAGCAGGTCGCTCCGTAGAAAGAAAAGGAACTTTGAGGAGGAAGCAGCAGGTGAGCGCAGGTAGACGTCGTGCCCGCGGGACCTGGCGGCCAGCGCCGCCCCCCCCCCCCAGGTGGCCAAGGGGACGGAAGGGGGAGCGGAAAGGAGGGGACGGGGCGGCGGGGCGCGCAGGTGAGGCCGCACTCACCTCGGGCAGCTCGCGGAGCTGGTTGGCGTCCAGCAGCAGCTCCTCCAGGCTGCGGGCGTAGCGGTAGACCTCCTCGGGCACGTAGAGCAGCGAGCAGTGGCGCCTGTCGATGGTCTCCACATGACGGTTGCACCGCCACAGTGGGATGCAGTGGAACATCGCCGCCCGCCGCCGGGGCCCGCGCCGCCGAGACCCGGTGGGGGCGCGGGGGGCGGCGGGACAACTTCTGAGGTAGCTGCGCGTACCTCGCTCTCCACTCCCCTCGCCCCGAAACGCCTTTCCCTTCCGGGGTCGGGAGGCGCCGCCCCGGAGCGTACCTTGCGCGCCCTGGGCGACCCCGAGCTCCGGGTTCCGGGCGCGTTTGAGGCGTCTCCGCCGTGCGGGTGACTTTACTGCCCACCCCGCCTCAACCCGCGGCTTGCGCGATGCTCCGGCGGCCCTACAGGTGAGCGGGCCGCCCCTAGGCCTTGACCTCCGGCCCGCGGGCACCGCCTGCAGGCCGCGGTGGAGGCCCCGGTAACCTTCGTCTCTCCATGCAGTGAAAGGAGACCCCGTTTACCAAACCGCCAAGGACTTAGGCGTCAGGGAGTCTGCGAGACCCTCATAGAGGGGATGGCACCCCATGGGCAGCCCACAGACACAAACGAGCAGGCAAAGGTGGGTTTCTGAACTCATTGCAGCCCGGCCGGACATTGGTCCCTGGGACCTGCCTGGACTGGAGGGAAGAGCAGGGGAGGGGGCAGGGGCCCGCCAGATGAGCAGCCTCCGTCTGGCTCCTGCGTTTCTCCACCAACACTTAGTCTCTTGCAAAGGGTAGATTGCAGCCCCAGAAGAAGTAGCTGGGAGGACCCAGGAGGCTCACTACTGGGTGACCATGACCTTGCCCCTGATTCGTATCAGAGGACTAGGGCCAGCACCCTGAACTTTCCCGTCTTCCCGTCTCCGAATAACCACACTGGCTCCTGGGCAAAAGGTTGCTGACGAGGTCAAAACCAATCACATTGATGGATTGTTTTCTCGGGGTCGACTGTGACTCCCCACCTGGGCGCCCCTTCGTCCTCACGCCTGCCCCTTCAAGTGAACTTGATCCTCTACCAAGACAGTACTCAAGCTCTCCCCGCGAGGCTCTGCCCCAAACTGTGGAAGCTAGTCAAGGAGTCTGAAGTCAAGGAATCTACATTTCTGCAGAAGACTGAGAGCTGAGCGTGCTCTGTGGTCAAAGCAAATTTGGGTCTGAAACTAGTTTTTGCAAGGCATAAGTGGTCTGAGTTCCAGCTGTGCATGGGACAGTCCTCGTGGTGTGAGTGAGGAGAACAGTTCATCATTTCAGCTCTTCTAGGAGAGCTTTTCACTTCCCAGTCGATGAGGACTGGGCCAAGTACCATGGCCTTGTCTGTTTCTACCGGGCGTTATCACCTTAACTCTAATTCGAGCCAGTCTCTTAACTCCACTGCTGTACCCAGTCCACCTTGTCTTTGTCCTGGCTTGATTTCTGCATTCTCAAGGGAGGTTACCTGGACTTTGAACCTTAGTGACCCTTCCTTCTTTCTCGCATTCCAGAAACCCACTTTGTGACACCTTTGGTGGGAGACTGGTTGCTGCCTGAGAGCCTAGGTCTAAAAAAAGTAAGCAAGTCACTGGCCTTGTAAGTTTTCCAACTGCTGAAAAATAATAATGAAAGGAGACCTGGCCCCCTCATCTTCACCTGTTGATTTCCAGAATTATCACACGAGGTTGTTATCGTAAACACCAAATGTTTTTAAAATGAGGCTTATCTTTTTAAGACTCCAAACTTCAAGAAGCATACCCTATGTGCCTCTCCATGGCACTTACACTTCCATATATTAGATTATTTTTACTTAATCTCCAAAAGATTGCGACCTCTTGAACCACAGGTACTATTTCACTTGCTCTGTAGACCCCAACAACTACCATAGCACTATATGTAGACTGATCAAATTGCCTTGAATCTTTGGAAAGCCAGAGGCAGAATTCTTGAATTTCCTCATTTTCAAAGATCTGCCAAGAATCTGAAACGTTAGTGTGGTAATAGAGAAAAAATGAAAACACTTTGTGGAGAATTACAGAATCAACTCTTTATCTTCCTGAAGAGTTTGAGGGTTTCCCTACTGACAAAAATTCTAATTTCTTTCCTTCTGTGTAAATGTTTTGACTCAAGTTAAAATGTAAATAACCATAGAAATCTAATTTTGTTTGGAATAATGCAATTAATTTTCAGTGTGACCACTTTTCACACCTTTGGAGCTAGAGAAGTCCGCCTTTCAGCTTTGTTGAGTAAAAACGGTTGCTTCACTTTTATAAGCCTCAGTTTTATCAGCGCAAATGAGGACAATGGTCCACAAGTTGTTATTAGGATTAAATAAGATGATGTAAGTAAATGCTTAGCAGAGTATCAGGCACACGCCTATTCAGTCAATAAATATTCACTGTGTACTAGTAGATCTGTGTAATCAACATCTGTCTTTGTCTTTTGGATCACTCACTTCGGAGAAACCAGCAGCTGTGTTGTGCAGCCCCATAGAGAGACCCACGTGACTATCGCCCACAGCTAAGTGAGTGAGTAGACTTGAAAGCCAACCCTCCTGTCTCAGTCACGCCTACAAATGATTACAGAACCAGCCAATGCCCTAACTGCAACAGCATGATAGACCTGGACCCAGGACCACTTTAAGCAGCTCCTGGACTCCTCTAACTCTCAGAAACTGTATGAAACAAATGTTTCTTATTTTCAGCTGCTAATATTTGGGGTAATTTGTTACACAGCGACAGATAACTTGTAAATGTACTTATCATGCTCCCCAGATGGTACTCCAAGACAGATCTTGTTAAGAACAATAAATGCTCCATTAATGGTGGTGGTGTTGCCCTATTATTATTTCTTTGGTTATGATAGTTATCATTGACAGTGAAAGTCCAAAGCGATAGCTGATAAGATGGGGCCAAATGAGAATTCAGAGTTTTGAGCATGTGAATTTTAAAGGGAGACACCACCCCTTCACTAGAATGACTAAAACACAAAAGATTGACAGTCTCAAGTGTTACTGAAGCTAAGGAGCAACTGGAACTCAGGCTTTGCTGGTAGGGGTATAAAATAATAAACACTTTTGGAAAACAATTTTTAAGTTTTTTATCAGCATATACCTGTCTTGATGATCCAGCCATTCTACCCCCAGGTAGAATGAAATGAAAAAAATGAAAGCTTATTTCCATACAAAGCCTTGTTTACAAGTGTTGGTACCAATTTTGTTAAAAATAGCAAAAACTAGAAACCATCCAAATAGTCATCACTAGATAAATGAATCCACAAAGTGTACTATATTGAAACAATAGAATAGCAACAATAAAAAGGAAGTTTGTGCCTTTTCTACTGCTTTCCTAGTATTACTAATACTTGCAACACTGTGGATGAATTTCAAAAACAGCATGTTTAGCAAAAACAAAGCCATACACAAAAGACTATATACTGTTTGAATCATTTTATATACATATCAATTCTAGAAAGTGCAAACATATATTGCAGTACAACCTAGGTCATTGGTTACGTGCAGTCAGAGATTGGAGAAGAGATATGGAAAGAAAGACTGATGGCAAAAGGCATATCAAACAGGGAAATTAAGTCTTATAGGCGATGCAGTGCTGGAAGAAATTTGCATAAGAATTGCACCACCCTCTGGGAGACCTATACCTCAGCTCCCCTAAACTTGAATTTAAGGATCTTTTCTAGAGATTATACATCTTCACTGTAAGGGAAAGACATCCAAATCCTTCAAGAAGCCTGAGAACCTAAATAATCTAAGGGATAAACTTGTTTAGAATTCAGCCACCTTTATAATCAGCACTAAAGTCACCACCATAAGATCCCTTTGACTTCCTGGTGTGTGTGTGTGCACGCTTAGTCACTCAGTCATGTCTGACTCTTTGCAACCCCATGGACTGTAGCCTGTCTGGCTCCTTTGTCCATGGGGATGCTCCAGGCAAGAATACTGGAATGGGTTGCCATGCCTTTCTCCAGGGGATCTTCCCAACCCAGGGATGGAATCCAGTCTCTCTCAGATGGATTCTTTACCATCTGAACCACCAGGAAAGTTGATTTCCTGTACATTAATATTCTACCCCCATCTCATATTTTATTGGGAATATTTAACAAATTTAGTCTTTTATTAAATGTGGGCCTCGTTTTCCTGTCTCTTCTTATGCCTAGTAATTTTTAACTTTATCCTAGACATTATGAATGATAGAGTCTCTGGATTCTGTTATATTCCTCCAAAGAGAACTAATTTTGTTTTGTTTTAGCACACAGTCAGCTTGGATGAAATCAAACTCCAAACTCTTGTGTTTTAGTCCATTCAGGATAAAAAATACCTACCATATACTTAGTGATTCATAAACAACAAAAATGTATTTCTCACAGTTCTTGAGCTGGGAAGTCCAAGATCAAGGCACCAGTCGATATGATGTCAGGTAAGGCCTGCTTCCTGGTTCACAAGTGATGATTGTTTCACTGCGTTCTCACACAGTATAAGGAGGCCGGGGAGCTCTCTGGGGTCTCTTTCATAAGGGCCCTAATCCTGTTCATGAGAGTGCCACCCTCGTGATCTAATCACCATCCAACTGCTCTGCTTCCATATACCATCATATTGGGGAATACATTCCAAAATATAAATTTAAGAGAACACCTACTCAGTCTATAGCCTTGTATCTTCTCTGCTGGATGTAGCTGAAATTTGTGTTGAGTTATTTTATTCTTAACTGGGATTCTTGGAAACTGAACTGCACATGTGTAATGAAAGGTCGGCCAGAGATAGGGATGGAGTTGATGCAGAATTGAGAGCGCCCACTGTCACTCAAGGTCTGCCTTTACCACTCAAGCAGTGAAGAATCCACCTGAAATACAGGAGACACAGGTTCAATCCCTGGGTCAGGAAGATCCCCTGGAGGAGGAAATGGCGACCCACCCCAGTATTCTTGCCTGGACAATCCCGTGGACAGAGGAGCCTGGCGGGCCACAGTCCACAGGGTGGCAAGGAGTCAGACGTGACTGAGCGGGTGATAGATGGATGAATGGGTGAATGGATGGACCGTCAGTCAACCCCTTCTGAGGCTTCTCTCACTTCCCATCCGCTTTGGTCACCCCAACCCTGACCAGACTGCTCTAAACTTTGGCCATTGTAATATATAGAATAAATGTTATCTGTTCTGTGCAGTAGAGAATAATGGCTACACTTGTCGAAACCATGAAACAGAACCTCACCGAGTGTTATTTCCCCTTCCCAGTGTAGGCTCCCCTTCAGTTTCCGCTTCATTTTTGTCACTCTCCAGTACCTTCAGATGGTTTTTTCTTGTTTTTTTCCCCCTATATTTTATGTTTATTTATTTATTCATGTGGGATCTTAGTTGTCTGAGTAGGGATTGAACCCACGCCCCCTTGCAATGGGAGCTCAAACTCGTCACCACTGGACCACCAATGAAATCCCAGATAGCTTTTTCTTAATGTTTTGCCCAACATTATCATTGTTTGCTGTGAGGTCAGTCCGATGGTAACCACTCAGTCACTATTTTCTGTTTTTTATTAATCATAATCATTTGTTTATCCAGCTTTATAGGTTGTAATATATGTAAGCAGTCTAAAATTTCAGATGATGAAGACTTTAATCTGCTCCTCCATTGAGAGAAGTTACAAATGAGCAGTTCAGCCTATCTGCTCTTCTGTTTTTCTCAGTCTTATAAATGTGCTCACGATGAGACAAATATTGAACAACATTTTGCCGTGGTGGAGATGAGCCAAGCACTGTCTGTCATGTAGGCTGGTGTAAAGAACTCATAATTTTGCCTTGAATTTTTGCATCTGCTGCTTACTAGGGACGAGATCTTGGGTGAATCATACTAACTCCAGCATTCATTTTCTTTGTATCTTCAAAAGAGATGAAAAATGCCACCCTCAAAAAGCTGTCAAGAAAACTGTGGATTAACATAGTGGAAAGAGCTTTCTGTGCCACAGAAAATGACACATTAGGCATTAGTCACTGTCAGTATTCTCAGTCAGCAGCCAAAATAAAGCCTGTGGTGTGTGTACTCTGTTTGGGTAAACAGTATGTAAATTATTGGATTGGGAGAAGTTAGACTGTAACATTTTTCAACATGAAAGAGTATACCAGAGGAGCCCAGTAAAAACTATAGCAGCCACCACTGAGTCCATTTTACTTTTTCTGTCTCTGTTTCACAACCTCCTTCTTCCGAAAAAGCAGAGCATGTCGGGCAAAGCCTAGAGGAGGCTCCCAAGCTCCCTTTCTCAGGTTGGGACGATGATGTCCAGTTGTATAATGCATCTTAGTTTACTTTAAACCTGTGCTCCTTGCAGCAGAAGCACAGAGTCTTAACCACTGGACTGCCAGGGAAGTCTCAATGCATTTTAGTTTAAAGAACCATAACATACATCATCTCACTGGATTGAAATGTAATTTTTAGTCGTTTAGATAAACACAGAGGTTTCATTTCTTGCTTTATTTATTTTCCAACTTGATCCACAAAGGATTTAAGAAGGTCCTACAAATCATCCTTTTCCTATATCACTCCTATAGTTATAATGCCTACTGTATAAATTAAGGTAGCCTGGATACTAAGTCTTCACTGAAAGCCAAGACTCACTGCATAAAAAATAAGAGAAAAAGATATCAGTGAGCAGAACCGTGCCCCTTCTAATGATTCAAATGATTCAAATACCACTGCTAATAAAAGTATGTTGATCAGTTCACTAAAATAAATCTAGAAAAGGTCATGTTTCTCCAGTGAAGTTTGCATCATCCATAAAATTGATGTAAGCTTGATTGGAGAAATAATATCTTTTAGGCCCTGTCAGAGTAAAACTTTGTGAGGTTGCTGATAAAGCTTTTTATAAAAAATTTAATTGAGGTATAATGGACATAAAAAATTATAAAATATTTAATGTGTATCTAATGGTGATTTGATTACACATGCAAAAGTATTCCTTCATCTAGTTAATTAGCATGCTTGTCTTTTTCTTCTTTTTCTCCTCTTTTTTTTTGATGAGAAGATTTCTGTTCTAATTTCTTAGCAAATTCTATTTATACAATACAGTGTTATTAACTATAGACATCATATTTTACATTAAATACTAAAACATTCTTCATCTTATAACTGAAATTTTGTGCCCTTTTACCAACCTCACTCTATTCTTCCTGGCAAACCACCACCTTTCTACTCTGTTTCTATGAGCTTGAACTTTTTTAAATGATTCAGCATATAAATGATACCATGTAGTATTTGCCTTTCTCTGTTTGATTTTGTGTGTGGTATAAGAAAGGGATATAGCTGTTCAGTTTTCCCAGCACCATTTACTGAAAAGACTATCCTGTCCCCATTGTATATTCTAGGCTCCATTGTAAATCAACTGACCAGATATTTATGGATTTATTTCTGGGCTCTCTATTCTTTTACATAGATCAATGTATCTGTTTTTTGTTTTGTTTTGTTTTGTTTTTTATTAGTTGGAGGCTAATTACAATATTGTAGTGGTTTTTGTCATACATTGACATGAATCAGCCATGGATTTACATGTGTTCCCCATCCCGATCCCCCCTCCCACCTCCCTCTCCACCCGATCCCTCTGGGTCTTCCCAGTGCACCAGGTCCAAGCACTTGTGTCATGCATCCAACCTGGGCTGGTGATCTGTTTCACCCTAGATAATATACATGTTTCGATGCTGTTCTCTTGAAACATCCCACCCTCGCCTTCTCCCACAGAGTCCAAAAGTCTGTTCTATACATCTGTGTCTCTTTTTCTGTTTTGCATATAGGGTTATCATTACCATCTTTCTAAATTCCACATATATGTAAAAATATGGAACGCTTCATGAATTTGCGTGTCATCCTTGTGCAGGGGCCATGCCAATCTTCTCTGTATCATTCCAATTTTAGTATGTGTGCTGCCAAAGAGAGCACAATGTATCTGTTTTTATACCAGTACCATACTGTTTTGATAACTACAGCTTTGTGATACAGTTGGAAACAAGGACACTTGATTCCTTCAGCATCATTCTTATTTCTCAAAGTTGCTTTGACTTTTCAGAGTTTTTGGTGGTTGCATACAAATTTTAGGATTGCTTGTTCTATTTCTGTGAAAATTTTCATTGGAATTTTAATATGAATCACATTGACTTTGTAGATTGCTTTGGGTAGTATGGACATTTTAACAATATCATTTTTCCAATCCATGAACATGAAATATCTTTCCATTTAATTGTGTCTCATTCAGTTTCTTTAATCAATGTCTTTTGGTGTATAACTTTCACTACCTTGGTTAAATTTATTTCTAGGTATTTCATTCTTTCTGATGCAATCATAAAT